CACACACACACACACACACACACACACACACACACACACACACACACACACAAATGTTTGACAGAAACTGCTTTAACGAAAAAATTCACTGTAGCCAGAGAGAATGGTCCCAGGTGAGGCCACTGGATGCACTATCTCAGAGAGAGTTTTTCTATGCTTGCCTAGCTGGGAAAAATGCCTACTACGAAAGCTCTGTTCTACCCAGCACTATTCTGCTTTTTAGAGGGTGCCCCCACATATAGTCCTTCTTTGTAAGGTATGACTCTTGTGTTCTCCTAGTTTTTTATAAGAGCAGCAATAGCTTATGTTTTATCCACTTCTAATTCCCAACAGTCTAGCCTACAAGTGCTAACTCTGTATTCCTCAAGTTTCATGTCGACATAGCTAGATGGAGCACACAGACAATAAACCTGTAAATAATTGAAAATTTCAGGAAGTGAGATGAGGAAAAATTAATCATGGTTCATGGTTAGAAAATAATTTGGAATGGACTAACTTGCCAAGTTATACCTCGCAGAGGCTATCTTAGTAGAAGAGAGATCTAAACTATATATAAAAGGAGTCTTCCAAAAATCTAAGGGGAGAATATTCTAGGCAAGGCAACAAGTTCAAAGGCATTTAGGTGATAATGTGTCCCAAGGTACAAGAAACAGCTAGTAGGTCAATGTGATCAGAGCAGAGGAAATGAAAGACAAAGTTCTAGAAGATGAGTTTGGGGAAGCAAATAGAAATAATCACCTAGATCCTAAAATTTTGCCCAAGTGTTATGGGAAGAAAGCCTTGAGCCATTTTAGCAAGCCAGCAACAGATATTTGATGACTAGAGCATTCCAAATGTGGAAAGCCTGAGACCACGGAAGTAGCTTCAGTAACAGGTGATTTTATCTGGGAACTGGCTGGTGGGAGAAGAAATGCTGATGAGTTACCTTCAGATTCAGTATGAAATATGTTGATGGAGACCCTGACAGGATAGTTTGTAAGAAATCTGTGTATGGAACAGAATGAGATAGATGGTTAGAGTTGAGATAAAAGGGGCTTTTCTGTAAAACGGGGAGTAACAGGTGAAGAAACAGGCCAGGTTTGCGGTTGTGAATTTGGAACAAGCATATTGGAATAAGCATAACACCAAAGGACTGGGAGAGGCTCATGATTGCTGGAGGCTGAGTGAGAATGAGGAATAAAACGAACCTGAAATGCATGCAACAGAAAACGTAGCTTTATGACTCTCAAGCACTAGATGTTTATCCAAATGACAGGAGCTTATCTTTACTGGCAATGAAGGGTGCCAATCATTCCATTTGCTCCATTATCTCAAGCATTTCAATCACGATCAGTCTATCACAGGGATCATGTCTGGGCATAAGCGACTTAGATTCAAAGCCTTAATGGGGACACCAATGGAAGAAGCCCATTTCCATCTGGCTTCATAGCAAACAGCCAGCACAGTGTGGTGCATGCGCTCCATCATCTCTTCTTCAAATGCATTCCACACTATAATTAGTCCCACCAACCCTCTTGATGGCAGTTATTGAAACCCTTTGATATCTGAGGAGACAGAAACTAATCGACTTTTATGGCATAAAATGTACATAACATAAAACTTTCCATTTTAACCATTATGAACTGTACAATTCAGTAGCATAAATTGCATTCACCATGTTGTACCACCAGCACCACCATTCGTCTGCAAAACATCTTCATGACCCCAAACAGAACCCCTTTACACAATTAAGTAAAAACAGCTCTTCATTGCCCCCTCCTTAATTTCTCTTAGCCAGTAATCTACTTTCTATCTATGCATTTGTCTGTTTTAGATAATTCATATAAGTGGAATCATACAATGTCTGTACCTTTGTGCCTGGCTTCTTTCATTTGGCATAAAGTATTCAAGGTTCCTCCATATCATGGCATGGATTAAAGCTTTATTTTCTTTCCGTGTGAGTACTACTCCATTGCATGTAGACACCGCATTTTGATTACACAACCGTATGGTGATAGAGATTTGCGTTGTTTCTACCTTTGAGTATTGTGATTAGCATTGCCTTCAACATTGGAGCACAAGAGCAATTCTTATTAATCTTTGTATTTCAAAGTCAATTTTAAAATGCACATTGTTTTCTTCTTATTCTAGAATTGCATGTAATTTATTTCTCAGTTTACATATGACCAAGGGTTCTACTTTTATTAAAGAACATGAAAATGAAGATAGTTCCCAAACACAATCGCACTGAGGCAACTGAATTTATCCTCCTAGGACTGACCAGCCGGCCAGAGCTGCAGCTCATCCTTTTTGTGGTGTTTCTCCTGATTTATCTCATCACCATGACTGGGAACTTAGGCATGATGTTACTCATCCGCTTCACGCCTCGACTGAAAACCCCTATGTACTTTTTCCTCTCCCATTTAGCATGTGTGGACATTTTTTATTCCACAAATGTCTCTCCCAAGATGCTTGTTAACTTCTTATCTGTGAAAAAAACCATTTCTTATGCTGGATGTCTTACCCAGTGTTTTGTATTTGTGACTCTGTTGCTTACTGAGTACTACATGCTTGGTGCTATGGCCTATGACCGGTACATGGCCATCTGCAACCCTCTGCATTACAGCAGCAAAATGTCCAGACCTGTTTGCATCTCCCTGGTCACCTTTCCCTACCTGTGGGGCTCTATGGTAGGGACAATGCAAGTAATATTGACTTCTCGCCTATCTTTTTGTGGACCCAACACCATCAACCATTTCTACTGTGCTGACCCACCCCTTCTAATGTTGACGTGCTCTGATACTTATATCAAGCAAACTGCCTTGTTTGTGTCTGCAGGGATTAACCTCACAGGTTCCCTGTTCATCATCCTCATTTCCTATGTTTTCATTTTCATCACCATCCTAAGGATGCGCTCCAGTGAGGGGCAACGCAAAGCTTTCTCTACCTGTGGCTCCCACTTGACGGCCGTCACCATGTTCTATGGGTCCCTCTTCTGCATGTATCTGAGGCCTGCAAATGTGCAGTCTGTTGAGCAAGGGAAAATTGTGGCAGTGTTTTGCATATTTGTGAGTCCCATGCTGAATCCGTTCATCTACAGCCTGAGGAACAAGGATGTGAAGCAAGCTTTGAGAAGAGTGTTTGTGAAAAAGCTTGGTAAAATACAGAGACCTTCTATTTCTACTATCTCTCAATAAACATTGAGTCTCAAAGTCAATAAAATCCACCCTTCCCTTGTTTCAGTCTCAAATAAATCCTCTGGCATAACATTTTCTATGTACTTGTAGTTGGGATCAATTGGAAATCGGGAATTTATATTCATTTCCACCAGACTAGTTAATAAGCAAATCCTTATTTTCACTCCCCATTATTGCTGATAAGTGCCATTGAGTCTCTTCTAACTCATAGCAACCCTGTGTACAGCAGGAGTAACGGCTGCCCTGCTCTCTGCCATCCTCTCAACTGTTGTGATGTCTGAGTCCATTGTTGCAGTTACTGCTTCAATTCATCTCTTTGACTCTCTACCAAGCATGTATTGTGTGTTAGACAGGGTTCTCTAGAGAGATAAAGCCAGATTGCTGATAATTTTAGATATTTATTTATAAAGATAATTAGATATATAACACAAGAAATGAGCTGCTAAATTATATACAGATAGATAGATATATAATACAAGAAATGAAAAATTAAATTAGAAAGCAGTACAAATGGCTCAGTGAAACTCACTCCCGTGAGAGAGAGAGTTGTGAGAGACTAGCAGTCCTTCAAGTCTAGTCTGCTGCCAGATCTTCCTCTATTTATAGAGAGAGCTAGGCCATCTCAGCACAGCAGCCGACCGCAAGGCAGATCACCAACTGTCAACCAACCACCAGTCCCAACTGCCAGTCCTCAGCTCCAGAGATGTCTTAAAGGGACCTGAACTTACAGCGACACTGTTCACAGGCCAGGCATCCCACAAGTAGTGTAGCCTATAAATGTATTTATAGGCTACAGAACAAGCAAGGCAGCTGCACACTGGACCGATGATCAAAGAGTGAGAGACAAGAAAGGTGAGGGTCACCAAGCCATTTATCTCTCTGCCCTTCAGTTAATCCCACTTGTGTTTATCGGCCAGGCTGGCACAATAAACTATCTCACACTGTGACCTTCTTCAGGGACTGAGTCCTCCTAATAGCCTATCCAAACTAAGCAAGATGAGGTCTTGCTATCCTCACCTCTAAGGAACATTCTACTTGTACTTTTTCCAAAACAGATTTGCCCATTCTTCTAGCAGGCCATGGTCCATTCAGTATTCATCACCAACACCATAATTCGAATAAGTCCATTCTTCTTTGGTTGTCCTAATTCACTGTACGGCACTAACATGCATATGAGGCTTTTGAAAAAACCACGACTTAGTTCAGCATACCTTATTCTTCAATGTTACCTTGAGGACTAAGGTATGTCCAAGTCATCCAAGTCATGGTATTTTCACCTCCTAATGGTGCAAACAAATCTGTCTTGGGAGAAGTACAGCCATAATGCTCCTTAGAGACAAGGTAGCAAGACTTCATCTCACATACTTTAGATATGCTGTCAGGAGAGACCATTCCCTACAGAAAAACATCATGCTTGATGAAATAGATGATGGGCACTGTAAAGAGAAAGGCTCTCAACATAATAGATTGACAGAATGGTTACAAGAATGGGCTGAAACGTAGACCAACTGTCAGGATGGTGCAGGACCACATAGTGTTTTATTCTGTTGTATATAGGATCACTATGACTCAAAACTGATTCTATCACAAGTGACGATGACAATGGCACAATGTTTAAGTTCTTGCCTACTAACCAAACCTACCAGATGTGGCAGTCTGATTCCATAAAGATTACAATCTAATAGACTCTATAGGGAGTTCAAATCTGTTCTGTAGAGTTACTATGATTCAGAATCACTTCAGATGATCAATAGTGAGCATGTCTAAGCAACCCCTCTTCATGAAAACGAAGTGATTGACTATATTTTACTGAATAAAATCGTGATTTACATTCATATAATACAATACATAGTTCTGTTTAATGAAATCTTATTAATTGGCTTGGAAAGATGTTATATTTCTAATCAGATATTTTTATAACAACACCTTTGGAGAATGTTGGCACTGTTTTCTTTCATTTGAAGCCTTGTGTTTTTGTTATTTCAACAAAGTTTTAATATTTTATATTCATATATAAATTCAATATTTTATACTCATATACTCAAAAGGTCAGTCACTTTTTTCTTTAATTAAAATAGATGTCTTTCTTAAAAAGAAATGCCCTTGTTTGATTTAGAATTTCCCTTTTTCATAATACCTTACTCTCTACATTCTGACTTTTTTTTTGTCTCTGTCATGCTTAGGTTTTATTATTCACTGTCATCATATACATGGGGATATGGGGATGAAGGTTCAAATATTCACCCTTCCTTCCCAACATCCACTCTGCATAGGCCCTCTTCCTTTGTGAAGAGAGGTGATGGATGGATGGATGGATGGATGGATGGATGGATGGATGGATGGATAGATGAGAGACAGAGACAGAGAAACCTCACGCAGGAGGGCCTTCTCTAGGCTCTCAGAGGAAAGGATCGGGCTGAGAGTAGGAGCCATTCTGACATTTTAAAACATAATTTAACATGTACCTTTATATGCATTAAATTGTTTTCCAAATGAAGAATAAGCATATTCCAGACTGCTTAGTATATCACTTTATTTTAATATTAAGGTTATTTTCATTTCCCTCAAAAGAAAATCAAAATTACTCATTATATTAAAATACAGTTCCATTTTTTTCTGTAAAAACTTGTCCCATTCCTTACTTGTTGAATACATGCATAAAACCACCAGCAGTTCTCTGAATGAAGAATACTTCTGAATAGAACTGAGATTAATTTTTCTGATTAAGGTAGGATGGTTAGAGGCAATTAACCCATTCCCACTCCTAACACTAAAGAATTTCAAACTCCTCAAGCACTTTAGGAAGGGAAAACAGGCGCTTAAAGGAAAGGAAACCAGATAACCATCCAGTTCAATACAATCTTTTAACTCCTTGTACTTTCCAGGTTTTATAATAAGGTACCAATAAAAAGAACATCTTATTATAATCCTGGGGCCTTTGGTACAGTGGTTAAGAGCTCATCCACCTCTCTGAAGAAAGCTGTAGTAGTCTGCGGCTGGAATCCATATGGCGCAGTTGTAATCTGCCCTATGCAGTAGCTATGAGTCAGAACTGACTTGATGGCAATGTGGTTGGTGGTGTTTGGAATAGACTTCAATTATGGACTATCTAGTAACATGTTTTTGTTTGTTTTCTTGTTTATTAAGGCAATGCTTGTTTATAATAGGAAATGAGCACATAGATAATAGTAAATAAGTACATAGATAAAAAGAACAAGTTTCGCTTCTCTTTAATCGTTCCTTCCAAAGGTAAGCATAAAGTATGCATCTTTATGCCATGTTCTTTTCATAAAATACTTTAAAAATGACTTTCCATTTCCTTAACAGAGAATTTCTTAAACATCATTTTAACAACATTATAGGAGGACAATAATGGCTTTTCACTCCTTTGTGAACACAGTCATCACATGCCTCTGTCATCCTGGCCATTGGGTCCTTACAGGGGTTCTAGGCATTGACAGGCAGCTGCCATCCTGTCTAGCAGATCCTGCATCTTTTGAGTTATTAATCACAGGCAGTTCTTGCTGTGCACAGTTCTGTGGTGACTGAGAACCCTGGAATACCAGGATATAGTCACAGTATGCAAAGCTGTCTGTTAGCACTTGCCAAGGGAGGACTGCCGACATTTTGAATACATCTTGTCTTTTTCTCAATTAGGAAAATAAGACTATGATAAAAATCTTCAGCTGGGTTTCTGATTATGTCTTCAGGGTTTCTCAGATTTGTAATATTTGAAAAAAAAGACTCCACACGTTTTTTAAGTGTCTTGAAATAATGCTTTAATTTGAAGTCTAAGAATCTATGATAATATTTCTTTCACCAACAATGTATGAAAGTGGTCATTTTTTTAACCCTTTTAGTTTTAAGTATGAGGATAACAATATCCCAGTTCATAGCTTTAATTACTGATAATTTTCTCTATTAATTTTAACATTTTAATTTAAAATGTTCTTTTCATAACTTTTCATGTTTACAAAGATGTACCAAATCCACTGCAATCTAGTGAAATCACACTCATAAAGACCCAATACATATTTATGTGGTTTTCAAATCTTTTCAGGAGAAGACAGCATCCACTTTCTGCCTTACAGGAGTTGGTAAGTTTGAATGACTGACTTTGTAGTTAGTGGTCTGACCTACAATCCACTATGCCACTTGGGAACATTTCTCTAATATCAGGACTTGGTAAACACAAAACAAATACAAAAACAAATATATAGTTTTTTTACAAAGAAAAATACCAAAATTATATCCATGTCAAAAACAGCAGAAAGAAGTTGAAGAGTGATGATCAAATTTATGTATCCCTTTTATTTGTATATATTTATGTTCTTCAAATATTTTCAAATTGAAGTAGTCTAAGGATTTCCAGTTGAATCAACAAAATACCAAATAATTTTAAAGTTTACTTTTGAACATAGACAAAAACGCATTGAAGCTATTACTGTCAGACACAGCTACTTTATGTCTAAATTGTTTGGAGTTTTATACACACATTTTGATTCTTAGAAATATTTACCAAGAGCTTTAAAATGATCAAAACATGTCATTAAGAAATCCACTTCTCTGAATGTTTCCTAAAAGCTTCCAAAAATATGTTTGAAGAGATATGAGTCAATCTTAAAAATAATAGGTACATAGGTAGGATAGAATAATGGTTTTCGATTACAAGGAATTATATGTGATCTCCTTCCTGGGGGACAAACAACAGAAAAGTGGGTGAAGGGAGATGTCGGACAGGGCAAGATATGACAAAATAATAATTTATAAATTATCAAGGGCTCATGAGGGAGCGGGGATCAGGGAGGGAGGGGAAAAATGAGGACCTAATGCCGGGGGCTTAAGTGGAGAGGAAATGTTTTGAGAATGATGAGGGTAATGAATGTATAAATGCGCTTTACACAATTGATGTATGTATGGATTATGATAAGAGTTGTATGAGCCCCTAATAAAATGATTAAAATAAAGAATAATGGTTTTCAAAATAAACTAATTGGAAT